TCACCAGTGATTTCGGAATGGATGTAATGAATATAATTTCAGTAATTGTTACCATTAGGAGATGAAATGCCTGAACCCAATTACTTTACGAATATTTCATTACAGTAGCATCCATTTTCAATATGAGCATGAGGGAACTGAGAAAGATCTAGAGTATATTTAAGAGACCTGTAGTGACCGGATCTGGCCAATCGAAATTCCTAGAACGCCTCTCGTATAAGAATCATAAGACCAAAACCAAACTAAATACCAATGCCGACCAGAACAAGTGTAAAGATCAATTTTCCCAATTAAATCAGTTCATTATTCACTGCTTAAGTGCTTGGTAAATGGAAAGAGGACGCTTGATTCCATGAAAATGAGGTCTGTAAGTACCACACCGATCATTTCAACGTTTGTATTTATAAAATGACAAAGGTGTTTTGTTTTATCGTGTCACCCCAGCCAATCGATTCTGGAAACAGAAATTGATACATCTCATCAATGCTTGCGGCAATAATAATGAAGATATTGCGAGACATTAGCTCTTTAAGATTGCTACACGATGCAGCAAATTTGCTAGACTACACTAAGACGTGCGAGATGATAAGATAGTCTGATGATAATTCAAGCCTATTTAAGGAGTTATGTCATTTCTTTTTTTTCTTCTTCTTCTCAGGCTGAACGGACGCGACAACAAGAAGAAGAGATGGCACGAGAGAGAAACTTTACTACCCTCCTACAGACCGCACAGCAAAGTCTAATACCCAACCCGGAGGAGTTTGACTGTGGCATATGTTATGTACCAGTGGACCCTGGAGAGGGAGTTGTACTTAGGGAATGTTTACACAGGTTTTGCAGGTAAAGGTAAAAAGGCGCTAGCCAAAAGGAGCACACTTGTTGTTAACAGTTACCTGGCCAGTGATAAACAACATCCTGTCGTGCAGGATGCGTAAAACGTTGGAAAGTTCAAAGAAATGTTTTAAAAGGAAACTAGAAAGAAAAGGAAAACCCGAGACTTTTCAAACGCTAACCTTAATTACTACGGGTATTATTTACCATTTTATTTTGTTTTGTCAAAAAAAAAATCGAACGCCTTTAACACATCGTGACCTACTACTACTTAATTCCTGTTACACAACTTAGTTCTGAAAGCCTGAAGCACGCTACGTAACCATGGCAACGTTCACGCATACACAGACGTTTGATCACAGTTTATGAAGCATACACTGTCCTCTTACTGATAACCAATACCTTTTAAGCTTTTTGTTATAGTCGTGACTAAACAGGCGAAATCAGCTTTTGTCTTAGTTGGATCATGGTACCATGCCTTACCAAACAATTTCGCTGCTCAAAAGTTATCGAGTTAGACGAACAGCTAACCAATATAAAATTTGTTTCTTTTTAATTAGTGCCAATTACAACGATTAGCTCTTTTTTAGATCCTATTCAATAATTCTGATCATCGTTTTTTGCTGTCTTATTTCGAAGGGATTGCCTTAGTGAACACATTCGTCACGCAACAGATCCAGAAGTTCAGTGTCCTCATCAGGATGAAAACTATGCGTGTCACGCAACCATCACGGGTCAAGAAATTAAAGCAGTGAGTAAAATTTAAAACATGTTCTTGTATAAAATCAGTCCCAAGACACCATGCAGCATAATTACCAAAAGAAAAGAGACACATCCTCGTCAGTTTTAAAATATGAGAGCAGTTGCCTTATTGTTAAGCGACTAGGTGAAAGTTTGTTCAGACAACAGTTAGTGTTTTCTCTTTTCCGAGCGACACTAAACACTCCAAGACTTCTTGCGGCTTTGCGCGAAATTTTGCCCTAGATCTCAATCTTGGAGTATGGGATAATTGATGATAGTTCTACGTACTTCCAAGTAAATTGTTTTTCTTTTGTTTTTATTTGTTTATGTAGCTTCTCTCGCCGGAAGATTTCAACAAGTTCTTGAACCGCAGCCTCGCCACTGCGGAAAGTCAAGCCCCCAACAGCTTTCATTGTAAAACTCCAAATTGTCAGGGATGGTGTGTGTACGAGGACAATGTCAATACTTTCCATTGTCCAGTGTGTAATCAACCGAACTGTTTGACGTGCAAAGTGATTCACGCCAACATGAACTGCAAAGAATATCAAGATGACCTCAAGAGAAGGGCACATAATGATGAAGCGGCCAGGAAAACGCAACAGTTTCTCGAGGTAAAATAATAAGAATTTCGATACCAGGCCCTTTTTTTGACACTTTCTCTCCAGTCCGGTGTTCGTTCCTGGATCGTGGGCTCTTCCAGGACAGCGGCTAGTCATCGAACTTATCGTCAAAATCGAAATAGTGGCGAATAAAGATTGGACGATTCAGAACTTCGGCGTTTGGCGTACGGCGCTCATCAAAATAGTAGAGAACATGAAGTGGGATAAAGAGAATCCCACATGCTCGGGAAAATAACTGTTCGAGAATTTTTTAAGTTCTTAGAATTTGAATTTGTAGACATCCCGAGTCGTAGGGACAAAGCGTGAATATCGGAAGCGTTTCATTTTCCCCGCCACTCACCAGACTATTGCGATGGTCGACGATCGTATTCAAAGTACAAAAAAAAGCTTGATTAAGACTTTGGGGACGCCATCAAGTTTTCGGCACTAGATTCAAATCGTTAATTCGTTAATTCGTTAATTCTGTCCCTCAAAAACCTAATATCGCAACAATCCAGGACATTATGTCTGCATATTTCCCAATTTATGGGACAGAATGGAAACCGTGGAATCCCCAACCGTTGGGGATTTTTTCCGACCAGTGGGAATTAATGTCCTCGAGCATTATTGATGCTATCAGTATTATCGTTGTGGTGACAATTTGCTGAATACTTTTTTTTTTCAGGGTATGGTCGCTGGTGGAGAGGCGATGCATTGTCCAACATGTGAGATTATTTTAGTTAAGAAAGACGGTTGTGATTGGATGAGGTGCAGTATGTGTAGAACGGAGATATGTTGGGCCACTAGAGGACCGAGATGGGGACCTGGGGTGAGTTTCAGACCGGACTTGTACTTCCCTCTTTCGTTGTCTCTACGCCCGATTCGTTATAATGAGAAAGGTCGATAGTGTTAAGTGCCATACAGCTGTATTCCGCGCGTGATCCACGCCTCTTTTCACGGGCGGTTGGGTGGACAAAACCACGAGCCAAAATCATCGATGCTATCATGGCATTTTTTCGGTGCTTTGGGTGATCAAATTGTCCTTACAAAGAAGAAGAAGAAGAAGAAGATGGACGAGGCTATCGTACGTTAAAGGCAGTTGCTCTTTTTTTTATGAAAAGAGGAAAGTAACTTACAGTGCTCAGCACTTTGGGTGTTGCTGGCGCCGATAGGATAGGGCTTTTGTCATGTTCATGCCTCTGTTCATGAATCCGAGTAAGCATGTGATTCTAAACAAGATAATAACAAAGGATCAGTTTTCAGTTTCATGTTTGTACAAGAAGGTCAGCTATACAATCGAACGGAAGACGATGCGCATAAATTTCCAGTTATGCTCACGTTTAGACTGAGACCGATTCTTTTTCTTGTTTTTAGGGCACTGGAGACATCTCAGGAGGTTGTAGGTGTCGTGTTGGTGGCAAGAAGTGCCATTCTAAATGCCGAAACTGTCACTAACAGATGCTCTTCGAAACAGATATTTGCACTTGAGACAGTCGAAATCCCCTGAGAGAACTGAGAAGAGGTAGTTTTGGCAGAGCCTTGCATACCAACAAGAGATTATAAACCATTATCTCTTGATACCAAAGAGGTCAGTTCTGTGGTCGTAGAGCGTTGATCAGTTACTCTGTGCGTGGTATTTATGCCATTTCCAACGGATGTTCTTCGTTTTTGCCTGTTTGTTTTTGTTTGGCTATATTTTTGATTTAACGATCACGCGCAACATTAATTTGACCACCTTGCCTTTTGATTTATAGCTAAAGGGAAACCTAAAGATATATTTCGGTGTTGTTAGAGGTTCTCTCGAGGCTTCCGTGTATTTTAGACTTTCAATGGCTAACGTCAAGGTGTTAGTTTAGAAAGACCCATAAAAAAGGAAGAGGTAAAGCAAATGCTGCGACGGTGATGAAGGATCGACAAGACTGTTTTTCGAGACTTCTGCATATTCTAGACTGTCAATGGGCCTTGTCAAGGTGTTAGTGTAGAAGGATCTATTGAAAAAAGGAGGGGATAAAGCAAAGACTTGCGAGGGTGATGAAGGATGATCAAGATTGAAATAAATTTCACATAAAGTTTTTCCAAGGTGTAAAAACCGCAGCGAAGTTCCCTAAAGTTCTAGATAATATTTTACTTTAATACATACGACACCTATTACACCCTGAAGAAAATGAATTCGAAAAATATTTCTCATTACCTCAGACTTAAAACTTCGGCGAAATTTCGTTTAAATTTCCATTTTAGCTGTTATATGTTTTTTTTGGACATATCTCTACGACACAAGCATAAATGGAAATAACATACGTAGAAGTGCATTTTGTTGAGATTTTGTGGAACAAAAAGCATTAGATGATCAACGTAACAACTTTGGCATATTTTGCGTGCAGTTATGCTTTTGTGGCATGAGTAAACCAGTCTTCACCGTTAGCTAGTAATATTATCAATTTGTAGTTGTGGACGCTAAAATAGTTAACAGCATTTAGAGTACTCAGTAGAAGCCTTGAATTAACCAAAACAAGGAAAATAACTATGAAATGAAGAAACTTTGCTAAATATTTAACATTTTGATGGGTGTTTAGCCGAGCCTCTTACTGTAAACCAAGTGAGACAAAAGCCTGCATTATTATTATAACAGTGGTCTTACATGATAAAAGAACGTTGACAACTATAAATTGTAGAGTCAGGCGTTCCATGAGAGATTAAAGCGTTTTTAGGGGGTTCCACTTCTGAATCAATAAATGGACGCTATAATGGATTATGATCTTTCAAACGTAAGACGGTCAAATGTTCCAGTATTATCATATCCACGATGAACAAACATTTTTTTCGCAGCAATAGTAGTTTCGACGCTATTTGCTTTTAAATATATGTACACCTTTTATTATATACATTTAAAACCAAAAATTAGGTTTTGGGTTTAGGTTAAGTATTCACTTAATTTCTAATTATGACGCTCTCAACAACTGTTTTTTCTTTTCTCTCATTGCTCAGTACACTGAATAGCTTTTTACAATTTCCTAGAACTTAAAGTTTGGATCGTTAGAAAATTACAGCCATTTTTAGATCAAAGGGTGTAAAAAATAAACTGTCCATGAAAAGTTCATCTGCGTCTGTTCATTTCGGTTTGGCGCCCAGTCTCCTAACGCTTCCACTTTGTAATCTCTTGACTAACAGCGTCGTTTCAATCTTGGTGCCAGACTCTTGCTGCTCAGAGGGGATGTTAAACGCTCGCTCCAGGTATTTATCAATCATCTCAGTCGGTGCCTCTGGGTCAACAGACTGAATGGCTCGGCGGACATCCTCAACAGAAACTTCACTATGAAATATTAAGGACAACAACATTTTTAATTTTCTTGTCTCGCATAACAATCACAACCTCGTAACAATTTCCATGCAACAACCGAGCCGAGTGAACTCAAAATTTGCTATCTTCGCGCATGAATAAAACGAATAGCCTTGGCTTGCCACACAGAATTCCCTGAAGCGTAGTAAATAAAGCCAAGAATTTGCTTTTACTGGGGTTTAAATCCCTGCGGTGAAGTAAGATATCTCTTGTTATTTTACACCAGACTTGTTATGAAAACTCTAATCGGTCGAGTGCATGCAGACAGTCAGTATACAATAGCGTGTGAAGTGTAGTTTCCAAGCCCCTCGTTCGTGTAGTGGTCACAAACTTTTGCAAAGTAAGAGAGAAGTGTCTTCTTGGGCAGATTGGTCAATAAATGTATAATAACACAATTATTGAGTCGGTTTTCGCATGATATCATGAATTATCAAATCTCGAGTCTGTGTTATCTGCCTCAGCTTTAGGCTTCAGCAGGGAACCCCGACCTCGATATTGATGAATCATGATGATATCATGCTCAACCTCATCCAATAATTGCTAAATTTCTACCCGGTGTCACTTCATTTACAAGTCTCAGCTTGTGAGTTTGTGGCCAAATGAAGTGATAAACCTTAACGTTTAAAGGTAAGACTTGCCTGCTGCCACCCAGAGCGCTTTCGATATCCTTTATGTACATGGTCTTCTCAAGCTTTTCCTGTTCTCTGATCTTGTCCACAAATGGACCAGACCGCCCTTCCTCGTCCTTTTCGGGCAAAGATAAACAATAAAAAAAATCGTATTTAATGTGTTCCTTTCCCAAAATTGGACCATGGAGGAGATAATTATAAATTTAATTGTACATAATCGGTCTTAAGCACCCCAGATCTTCTTCTGGAGCTTCATGCCAATTTCTTTAGGTGTGTAAAATGTATGGGTTAATTTAGTAAAGTTCCTGATGAAAAAATTTAACAAGAAACACCCTCTAGATCACATAGCTTAGAGTTCTGCTCTGTAATTCTCACCTCAGTAAACAGATTTTTATATTGAACACTCTCTCCCGGTGCTTCCTGTTCGCAGGCTTTCATTAACGCTTCAATTGATTCATCGTCTTTCAACGGGAAAAACGACCGCAGGCATTGCTCCAGGTCTGCGCGGGATAATGTACCCTGAGAGAGAATCGTATTAATTATTCAGAAACTCAATACTTGCTCTTCAACTAGTAAATCAAGTGTGGACTAGTCGAGAAACATGAGGGCTTACCTGGTTTCCTGCTGCCAGATCAACTTTAGTCAAAGCATTGTAAAGTTTCTCTAACATTACTAGCTGATCGTGATGAACAGCTTCGTCGACCTGGAACATAAAAAGCGGATATAAGTTTATTTTTATCACACTTCTAATTTACCATGAATTTTATTTAAGATTACACCTGACTCCTTGAAGGCTTGGAATTGGCGCCATTTTTAAAATTAACCCCTTGAACCCTACGAGTGACTAAAATCTAATTTCTCCCTACAATATCACTCCCAAATTACACAATACGATCACGCGAATAATGCAAATGATCAACACCTAAATTCTCCTAGTCTGCACCTTGGGAAATGTATAGAGAGCAGTATGGAGAATATGTATACTGATGTGAGGGTGTTAAGGGGCAACCATACCTCTTTCTGCAGAATGCCGAAGAACAGTCCTATTCTGGGATCGTGTGAGTATCTTCCACATGCATCGTAAAGATTGTATCCCCATTCGACGATCATGTTCTCGACACCAAATCGCCTTTGGAGATACTGATACAAGAATTCGCCCAAGTCATCGCGTTCTCCATCCGGTTTCTAAAGGACAACAAAAGACGGCAAATGAAATGGTTGACACATGCAAGTATTTCATAACTCACACTCGAGTTCCTCAGTAAGCTGAAATTCTACGAGTCAAGGAATAAAAGGCCATTTATACTATATTTTCCGCGTCTGCTTGTGAGAAGACTACATTCGATTACGCTAGTTGTCGTCACAACAAGAGGATGTTCCTACAGAACTATAGGTAAAACAAACAAACAAACAAACAAACAAACAAACAGCGACAACACACAACCACTAACATGACAACAACAAGGAATGGAATCTTTCCATCATCTATTTGCTGCAATGAAACGAAAAACAATCTACTTTGTCCAGGATTTAACAAGTCAAGTAACTTTTGGCTTGTTACTTCAAATTACAAGGTCTTCATATATACTGATCTCAATATTTAATATGTATGTAATTTTGTGCGTTTCGTTTCAATTTTTAATCAGGACATTTTTTGGGGATTGTTTGTACGCTCAAACGAAAATATTTGCATTAAGTGGTCATGAGCTCCTGTTCACACCAAAAGCAGACATTTTCTTTAAAGCGCATTAAGAGCGAAACAAGACAGCAAGGAGTTTATTGTTTCTGTTTGCCGTTTGCTGTCAACGTCAGGCTCAACCTCTCGATTGACGGTCAATGCTGAAACCATCTCAAATAGTCAGAAGAATGATATTGGGAAAAATGCACCTTGATCATTTTTTTTTTAACTCAATACGTGTTTCTTTCTTTCCATTTTGTTTCCTTACAAGAAAAGGCTTAGTAAGTTTACCTCCGCATCATGGGCAGCCTTTTCTTGCCAGATGTCCTTAATAAGCAGTGACGTATCCCTCTTCCCAAGCCGTCTGTTACGAACTTGTCCCTCAAAACGTAGGAACCTGGGCACTTCAGGGCCTGTACCCTACAAAAAGAAACAACGTTTACAACTGTCCTCTCAGCAACTGAAATATGTACGTTTGCAGCGAGTGGAAACATAGTGTGTCTACAGCAGTTTACCAGTCCTGAGTGGAGAAAGACCGAACAGAGCGATGGGAGATAGTACTTGAAGCAAATAAGAACAAGAAAATATCTGAAGCACTGCAGCGTCTGATTGGTTGAGAGGGAGGCGTAACTCTTCCGGACCAATCACAATCGTGTATTTTATTTGATAGACAATTGAGAGTTGACACATTATGCAGGTTTCTTTTCAGTTTACCTGTCCAGTGAAGTATTCCGCTCCCGTGTTCACTCCAGCCTGAATAATAGCAATATCTTGTCCTGTCATTTCTGCTAGTAAAATATCCACAAGCTCATCACTACTTCTGTCCTGTGACAACTCGTTCCAGCGATCGATTCCACCTTCAATATACTGACCACATTTCTCCCAGTGAGGTCTGCAAATATTAATAAAGTAGAACACGAGTTGAGTGCACGTTACTTACCACACAGTTTTAAAGGTTTGGCAAGGCTACATTAAAACATTATCAAGTTCACTTAGTAAAGGTAGCATTTAGTAACTGATTGATTGTTACCTTGGAGTAGCGCTTCTTCTCATCTGTTCAGTGTCATGAGCGTACTGGTCTCTCTGCTCAACAACTTTCTTGTGTACTTCAAGAATTGCGCTGTAAAATAAAAGGCAATCAGACACTGTCTGTACCACAATTTGGAAAACGTTGAAAACATGCAGTCTGATCACAGACCTTCTATTTCCTCTATTATCGTCTTCCAGTTCGCGAGCTAAATAAGAGTTGTGGGGAGTTTTTGGAATACGATAGCTTAGGAGTCAAGGTTAGGGAAGAGAAAATACTCCCATTTCATTTGTCCCGCTCCGCGCTCGTTCTTATGCGCCTGTCTCGCGCTCCCTCGCTTGGCTCTAAAAATGGCTGTGTTACTTCGCCAAGAAACCAAGAATAAAAAAATCAGCAGGGGGCGTGCCAGAGTGAGAAGACGACAAATTGTAAAAACAATAGTCAGGAACACTCTACATGTTGCTTCACATCATCTTTCCAGGAGGTGTACCAGCAAGCCCTTGAGTCCATGTGCTCGACCCAGTCTGCTTTGCTCGCGCGGGCCATTTCAGGCTAAGCACGTGAGAGGCCATAGAAGGAGAACGCAAGACACACTCTTATACAACCCCTTATTTTTCTTCCAATCTCGGGGAAAACTGAATAGCTGCAAGAATGAGAGGGAAGGGATATCCTCATACACTCACTTGTGTTCTTGCATGAGTTTTTGATTATCCACCGTAAATGTCTCCATATCTTTTTGCAATTTCTGTAAAAGATACAAAACGCATCAAAAACGATATAAGTGGTTCAGCTCACCTGGGGAAAGTGATCTTAACGTGGGGACTGTGTACTGCTTTTACAAGTAGTAGGTGTCACCCACATGTAAACAATTTCTCTAAGAACATTTGGACTATTCTTAGTCTACAAAAAGTCAATCCAATCACCAAACTCGCACGGATTACTACCTCTAAGGGACCAGTCACCTGAAAGGGTTGGGGGGGGGGGAGGCCGGAGGAATTTTTATTGGGAGGGATAACATAGATTTCAGGGAGAACGGAGGGAGGGAGGGAGGGAGGGATCAGTCATCGCCAACCGAATTTAAAGGGGAAAGTAGAAAACTGACTGCCAATCACCTCTCACCTCTCACCTCTCACCTCTCACCTCTCACCTCTCACCTCTCACCTCTCACCTCTCACCTCTCACCTCTCACCTCTCACCTCTCACCTCTCACCTCTCACCTCTCACCTCTCACCTCTCACCTCTCACCTCTCACCTCTCACCTCTCACCTCTCACCTCTCACCTCTCACCTCTCACCTCTCACCTCTCACCTCTCACCTCTCACCTCTCACCTCTCACCTCTCACCTCTCACCTCTCACCTCTCACCTCTCACCCCTCCGCCCCCCTCCACACAGGCGGTAAATAGTTATCGGCCCCCTAAAGGGCACAGATGAAACGTTTTAAAAATTTGCCTAAAGCTTTGACCTGGACAGGTTGGTAATTCATCAATATTTACACTTTCTGGAATTCGCAGCTCATTTTCGTATTTCTTACATTAAACTGCGCTTCAAGCCTTTCAAAGTCTCGTCTTGGTACGACATCACCATAATCAGCTTCCATTTCCGCCAGCTTTTTATTCTTAGCGTCGAGGTCTTCGCGCGCTTTCCTGTCATAAAAAAAATAAACTCATCAATTCAATACGAAGACTTCCTTACAGTAGATCGCACGGATTGCAACCGCACAAAAATCGAGTCTGGAGAGATTTTCCAACCACTGATAAGAAAAAAAAAAAAGATAAATTTCTAATTGTTACTGTTTTTATTGATTTTGTGGCAATGATAGAACAAACAATTATTGTGCAACTTTGACTTCTAACACTCACACAGCCTATCTTAGTGTTTAATTGCGGCCAAGCAAGGTTTCAAAAAGGAAATTATGGCAAGTTCAATCCAATTCAACTGGAGATATTCACCTTTAACAGGTGTTTACTCTTCTGATTGAGCAAGACAACGACCAATCTCTCCTTATTGATGAGGTCCGCCGTGCAAGTAAAAAAAATCAACGAAATTAAATATTGATGTACGTACGCCTGACTTCCAACGCGATAACATCATTTTCTTTTTTCGCTGCTTTTTTGTACTCGCGCGCGATGGAATAACCAAAATATGAGGGACTATTCAAAGTCTTGAAATTAAACTTACTTAAGAGCCAATTTTAGGAAGGTGACATCTTCTTTTCCTTCCCCTTCTTCTTCAGCGTTTGGTTTTTTGGCATCCTCCTGTTGATATTTCAGTTCGTTTATGTCCGCTATCAACATTTTCCTGCCAAATACAAGAAAAGGTCAAGTTCATGCACGCTGTTACGAAAGGGTACGTAAAAACAGACTAAAGAAGTTACAAAAACCAATCGCAACACAGGAAAATATTATAAGGAGCCAATGAGATTTCAAAGTGAGACTAACAGGCTGCCTGAAGCGCGGAAAAACACGAGGGACCGCTGGCTCTTTGGACAAAAGACAGAACTAAGTAAAGCGAAAGCATAGCAGTCCTAGATTATAATCCTGGGCCCAGGTGCTCGAAGGCCGATTAGCGCTAACCCAGGGTTAATTCATAAACTGGGTTTCTTTATTCCTTTATTCAAAAGCCTTTTTGGAATAATTTCCTCTACTGCTTTTAGATCATCCAATCTTCAAGTTGCAGAAAAAAAAAGAATTATGAAGAATTTTATTTTCATGCTTTCAGATCTGAAATCATATTTCACACCAAGCCTGGGTTGTTTTAACCCAGCTTTGAACAATTGGGCTCTGGATTAAAACTTAAATACTTTACCTAGCATCGCACTCGTTCCTATATCTCAGGTATTCGGCAGCAAGTTCCTCTTGAAGCTGCAAAATGAAGAGTAATACAAAGTGCTGTGAGAACTGTATGCCTTTGTCACAAAACTTACTGCGGAATACTCTTTCTTTTTTTATTATAACTTTTTTTAGCAATTTGAGCCGAAAACTTTCTTAAAATTTCCCAAGTACTTGAGTTAATTATCCTGTTAGACCACAGTTTTACATTTCATTTACCTTTATATTTATTATTCTCTCAACAAAAAAAAAAAAATATGAGCAAAATGAAGACGTTCTTCACTGATTCTCAGCCTGGGTATATTCTTAGTGCGTTCGTAACATTTTGGTTAATCTCAGCCTAAACGTTCCAATAAAAAAGGTCCATAAAAGGGTGTAATTTAATATGGTGATTGTTACAGTTTCGAAAACACAAAACACAACTACCGAACAGAACAAAGGTTACTATCATCATAAACCAATAAGAAATCAAGGTACCAATAGGCAACCTACTTAAAGAGCGGGAAACGCGTTTGACCACGTGGGGATTGGTTTAGACTGTGGCGCGAGTATGCTGGACCAATCACAGAGGGAAGTTAAGCAAAAACGGAGCAATCCAGGATCAGTTCCGATATTCGATTACAAACTGCTCCAAATGCATGCGCACAAGCACCAGTTTGGGTAGAAAGTAAAGGAAATACTAACGTTAGTCGTAACGCGGGTTTGTTAGGTCAAGGCGATTCCTCAGTATTTACACTTCGCGTCCTCTACTGTTCATAAAAATCAAGTCGAATAAGCGCGTGCACATTCCGAGAACACGGTATTGTTTTTCAATCAATGGACCAGGTGAAGAGGAACGATTGTCTTTAGCTCTTGAACGAGCACGGTGACCTATAGTTTTTACTGAATACCTTTGGTGTACAGATTATCCCCTTTTAAGGGAAAAAAAGAACTAACAAACAGTTTGCACGAAGCCCTTTATTCGAGGATGCAAATGATGACCTTGAAAGCAACGACTCGAGGAACATTCTGAGTTGATGTCGTTTTAAAATTGCGTGATTTTTACACAATATGTAAATCAAATTGCTCCATACGCTCGAGACTTTCTACCCATCAAGTTTTTTTCAATTCAAGTGTTACTTTAAAAACCCTCGCTTCCAGCTACCGCAAAATGTACCGTGAACCGATGACATAACGCGCGTGATTAGTGTAAGTACAGGCATCAACGGGGTAAATTTGGCTCATCATATCTCTACAATAAACACGTTGACCTATCTTTTTTATTATATTTTTAGAAACAGACATTGTAAGGAAAGTTAAAAAAAAATTGTACGACAACTTTTTCTTCCGATGGATCAACTTAAGTACAGGCGAGCGACAAAGTGACTCCACGCCGTGTAAACTCTGGGAGCAAGGCGTGCTAAAGAAATAAAAAACGCGCCGAGTGCATTGTTGAGTTATAACAATTTTTAAGAACACAAGAGAAGTGCGGAGAAAGACGAGCCGAAGGCTCGACAATGCTCGAGGAACAAGTTTTTTTATTTCTTTTATGAAAAGTATCGTGAATTGCGCGCGCTCGTACCGATGACATAGGCTGCGTGCATTATATCTCAACAGTGCACCCGTGCGACGTAAGGCGCGTGCTTTATGGAAATATAATGAGCTCGTTCTGACCAATCACGGCGCGCGCATTTCTCTGAACATTTTATAATCAGTTATAAACTCGTGCGATGAACAACACGGAGAAAGTTTGATTCTCTGGGATTATTAAATTGGGTTTCGTTCCCATGATGTTTCCCTTCATGTAAACATTACCTTCTCTACTTGAACTTGGAGTGACACTTGTTCCTCTCTACCAAAACAGAATTTTAAGAAAGTAATTAAAACTTCGTTCAAATTGAACAGAATCACAGCCTAGTATTACATTAAAAAAAACTGCAAACATTTATTCCAAGAAAATTTTCCTTTACCGAATGCGCCTTGGAACCTGACGAAAACGCGCATGTAAACGCTGCATAGCCAGGAAAGGTGTGATCAAGAACAACAGTAGTGTAAATGTAAATCTTCACATAGCCAAGCATGGCAAATAAAAGAACTCAAACGGTGCAGTAATCCTTCACAAATGCAATGTATTTCGAAATACGTTCCTGATGCTTCTGGTATATCGTATAAATGAACTTTTGGAACCAGCTTCTCAAAACTTCTTGGTTTCTCTTGTCATTTCCAATAACAAAGGGTGTTGGACAACTAGAAAGTACACCAACAGTATGCACAGCAATAAAAAATCACACTCCTTTAACAGTATACCTTAGTTTTGTTATTATATTTTGAAGTCTTTGATTCTCCTTCTTCATCTCCAGCATATCTGGATGAGTAAAAAAGTGAAAGGTAACAGATAAACATTTGGGAGTCCATGGATGCCCATGTCAAACAACATGTCGTGATGAATTGCACAAATTATTTCATTAGTAAACAAATTTCAAGAGAATATTATTTTTGTTAACCAGCACCTCAGAAAAAAAAATCTGCAATTTGTAATTGGCAACACAAGACACATTGCCTCTCAATGATACCTATCCTGTATGTCAGAAGTAATGTTTTTTCAGGCACATAATTAATTAATTTATTAACCAAAATGACATATATACTGCATGTTGTGTTTTGAAAACCCACAGTTCAACAAATACATGTAAGTGAAACATCACCTGATTTCTCTTCCTGTTTGACAGCTAGAAGTTTCTTTTCACATTGCTCAGATACTGTGACTAGCATGCTCTGAGAAAGATGACAAATGCAAGTGATGATAGGTTTTGGTCCAACAAAACATATACAGCTTTACAGAGCCCCATTCCCTCTTCTATGGCAAGAATGACGTCAAACTTGTTACCCCTTTGTTTGGAATTTTCTGACTTTTTATTTTAGCCAAATGTTGTGGTTTGTTTAACAAGTTTTAGAAATACATATTTTCTATGGAGTTTAAACTCTAGCCCCATCTTTCCATAAAAGAATGTGTCACAACACAAACTGCATGCAAATAAAATGACAAATTTCAGAAAATCTACATTGCTTGATCACGTGGTGGTCTAGAATATAGCTAATTTTAAGCAATTAACTTTAATTTAATTGTCTCATCTCCCCATTTGCTTTGATGAAGGGCTAATACTCAAAACATCAGCTTAGAAACTCTTTAAGATGGCCAATTTATGTTTATCAATTGATCACACCAAATTACCTTGTTATACTCTCCTACTGATGCAGCACCCCAGTTTCTTTAGAAACTTACCCCCCTTTTTAAAAAATGGTACCTTAGTCAGACTTTTATGATTGAAATATAAAGTACCTATAAATAACCTGCAGTATTATCAAATTTAGATGGCAGTACCTTCAAAGGTTCCAGTTCCCTGATCTTCTCCCTCTGATGAATCAACATCATCTCATACTCATGCTTTATTGCTGATAACAGAGGCTTGTAAGTCTTGAAGTCTTCTATTAAATATTCAAATACCTCCCTAAAAGCCTGAGAGAAAATATAACAAAACAACTTTAAAAAAATCATTGTGCTCAATATTATCATCATCATTCTCCATGGTAAAAGACATGTGCATACCTACATGGATATGTTCAGAATTAGAGACACAGTTATACACAAGTGTTATGATTTTACCCACCATTTCACCATTTAACCCATTACACCCTAACACAAGAATACAAATTCTCCGTAATGTTCTGTATACATTTCCTAAGGTGCAGACAAGGAGACGTTGTGTTCAAGATCAAGAACTTCCTTAGGTGATGATCATTTCATTTACTTTAGTGACCTTAATGTTCGATTCAGGGGTGAAATTGTAAGGAGAACATAGATACTGGTCACTCTTATTAGCCTAAAGGTGAAGGATGAAATGTAAATAAATCAAATGATGGAAACAAACATTCCATAATGACTACCACAAAACCAGTGCTTTTTTACCTGGTGGTAGATAGGTTTTTCACATTTTAACTATCTATTAAATTTTTTTTAACCCTCTAACTCCCAAGATCTCATCAGTAATTCTCCTTACTGTCTGCCGTACAGTTCTTGTGATGTTAGTTTGGAGAATTTGGGATTGGATTGACTGATAATCCCCTAATTGATATTTTTCTTTATTCTCATCACTTGCCTTCTTGATATTGTATTGATATTGTAAGGAGAAATTCTGTCTTGGTCACTCATGGGGGTTCAAGGGTTAAATTGTTTTTTTTCCAGTCTACATGTACCCTACCTTTAATTTACTCTTCAATTTATGTTTTTTTCATTTTTGAGAAATCATGAAAGAATAGATGTCCCATACAAAATAGTGTTCTTCTACGAATAGTTGACCTGAGCCAGCTGACATGTCAATCCTATGCTCCTCTGCTTAAATCAACATGTATGTAAATAAATGTATGTTTAGGAAAAAACATATTATTTTCAATAAGAAACACACCTGTAATCTTTTTTCACTTGGAACCATTTCTGCACAATCTAAAGAGCGCAATTCTTTTTGCAAGAAAGCCTCTAATTGTTCCAGGAACTTTGGCTTATGCACACCCTTTGGCATGAATTCATTACTCTGTTTGGCCACCCCAGGGTTGAGATCTGGGGCACTGGGACCAAGAGCATGTGCTGGCCATGTGTCCAAAGTCCCTGCCCTGGTGTCTATATAGGGCTAAAAGAAATAGAAAGAAAGAAAATGTATTTATAAACTATTGACATGGGATGCGTTTGTCATTATCTACAGTCATTCTGGTTTTACGTGGAAAATAATAAATTAAATTGCTGACTCCTAAAAATGCAGGAATGATACAGAAAAATAAAAGCAGGAAAAAAACACAGAATATTGTGTGACATCATCCATCCAAGCAGTAACCCTATATAATGGATTGAATATACATGTATAGGACTCAATACATTAACCCCCTTAAAACAGGTGTATATACTTTTACCTAGTAGTCGGATATATCAAGTATCAAAAGGAATTCATAAACCAATAGATCTACTGAAAGAAGGACAGTACCTGCAGTACAGCCGCTGAAGGGAGAGCAAACTTTGTACTACCAGATGGGCCAGTCAGGCTATAACTTGATCCACTCAGTCCAGTGTACTGTTTTACAGTTTTGCCATTTGTGTTGGGTTGAGGATATGTTGTCAGGGAGCTTTGGAATGAATAAGTCAGAACACACTTCTGAGTCAATTCATTAAAGTTTTAGCCAGCCCTTATGTGCTACTTGAGTGCTTACGATTTCAATTGAGTGAAAGTCGATGAGGGAAAAATCCTAGTAAGCAACCACACTAAGAAACCTGAAGAAAATAATCTGGTGTTTTAAGATAAAACTAGGTTACTCACTCTAGTTACCTGATAGCATGGAATGGATAATAAATAGCAAAGTTAATAAGACTGCAGCATTTTTAATAGAACACTTGAAGATTTAAAATAATGGTGCATACCTACTGGTTGTATTTGGTGGAATGCATTTATGAAGATATTCCCTGTGAATACTAGCATCTTACTGGATTCATTATTATTTTAAAGTAACCTTTACACTCTTAGGAGTCCACAAAACAGCATATGTTCTAACCTTACAATATCTTTCATGCTCACTGAATTGTCAAAACTTAAGTTAGAAGAAATTTACCACAGAGAGTGCAGAGAAATGACATTTATAGTTTTTGTGTGAAGGCTGTGTAAGCAACTATAAGGAGGAGAAAGCTACATAACACACGGATCATGCAATTCTAAGGAATTTACGTTCCAATATTCCATTTAAAAACGTAAAAAAGAGGATTTACTGCGGGAAAATTTTCAAAATCCCACTAAACCCATAATCGCTTTCAGTAACTCACGGTCTCACTTAAGTTTCAAGATTCCCTCTGGACAACTTAGACATTGTATTTAGTAAGATCTTTGGTATTAAAATCCATTATGTGCCGAGGGTTTATATCGAATAACCTACAAACAATTAGTCTTACAGCTGTATGTGCATGTAGGAATCTGAAGTAAGATCCTTAGAAGGTAGATATCTGTGTTTTACTTAGCCTAAAATCCTACGAATATCCAAAAATGCCAACTAAATAATTTCTGGTTTGTACGACTTAGTACAACTCTCGATTGCCGTCTTCACTTTCTTCCATTCCAGTTGATTACGAGAGGGAGGACCAGATTGCACGATGCGTCCTAAAAATAGATAACAATAGACACTTACGGTGGTAGAGGGGGCAGTTTCGTGTGCGACATGATGCTGCTTCCTACAACATTCGGTTCATCATCCAGCATGAGATCTACACTGCAACCTCTGCGGCCATTTTGTTTTGTTGACTTGGTAACCGTTGCGACCATGAAAACTGATTCCCAAGCTTCTCGCGTCCACGCGTTCTTCGTTTTCTTTGTTCCCAATCTCTCTCTTTCGGAAGTGTACTTTGCCTCCTTTTGCCTCCTTATGTAATCATTGTTGCAAACAAATTCACCAATCTTACAGTTTAAAGAAACAATTCCGACAACGATGACGTATATTATTAAAAAACGAAAGGAAAGGAAAAAAGTTATGATAACAAAAGTTAGCTTAGGAAAACATGACCTATAAATTTTTAGCTATAGTTTTTTAAACATGATATTTTTTCTTCGTCATACGAAAATTGTAATTTTGTTTGCTCCAGATAAATCGGGATTGTTGAATTCATAAATTATTTATTTCGGTCTATACGTCTTACCTATTTACTCGCGCAAGTTAAGTAAACGTTTTTTGTGATTCTGTTCGTTTTGTTTTGTTTTGTTTTTTTTTAATTTCTGTTTTGTCTGTTCGCTATTTATTTATAATTTTTAGTATTCTGCAAAAATTTTATCGTATCATTTCCACTGTTATTCAGTCTTTGATTATATAATTCTCCCTGCTGCAGTTAGAAACGTAATATCCAAAAATGAATGACAGGTTTTTCAAAGCAAGGAAACTTCTTAACTTGTGACAGTTTATGCTTCTTCAAATATTCAAATGACGTGCGAAACGGTGGATGATAAATGACGTGTATTCAAAATGCAATTCTAACAACTTCCGCCCCGGAGCGATCATTAACGAAGCAAACCCATTCTCAACCGAAATTAGGCGGTATAATTTAAGATTTTTAATAGTTTTATTCTTCCAATTGACTAAATGGTTATAAGTGGACGATGTCCGCCGAAACAGATTGTAAAACTCCATTGAGGCTTCATCTCGTGCGAGTTTCGCCGTGTTGTCGAATGATCTGGCTGTATGCACTGCAGGTAAGGCCGGAAAGTAAATATTCACAGCAGATCTTCGCGTAAACTTAAATTCTCTAATCGTAATGCAATCAGCTACGATTATATGGCCTCGGAAGAAAACAAACTTAACAATGGCAATACTGAAATATTACATTCGCACCAATCCAGCTGTAAAGAATTTCCTTCATTTAAAATGTGTATTTGGTCTTGTAACAAGGAAACCAGTCAGGTGTTTTGTCGAAGTCTTAAATCCACAACCACTGCTTGCGGCACTGCTTCTTATGCTATGTCTTAAAAGCTTGTTTTAACTTAGAGCGGCCAAACTTTTTCGCTAATCGGTTATCCAATTTTGCAAAAAATCTCGCAGCCGGTATAATTTTATTCCTCGTTGTCATACTTTTCGCTAAACATCTTGCAGAATCTCAGTATTCTCGCATAAGCTCAGACTTCGATAATCCGTCTTTCAAAAGGGTAGATTGCCACGATCAAAGGCAAGATAAATTGTTTATCATAAATTGAATAAATGTCTGGTGCGGAATGAAAAATCGCATTTTATTCGTTTTTTTATCAATTACGGTTTGTACTTTTTGCATCTCATTTCAATTTCACAGTTGGCGGTTTAATTGGGTTTTTGAAGAATATGATAAAAATTCAGAGGAAAATGAAAATAAGACTTCCAAAAACTCTAAAATGATTGATTTTTCCAGAAAAATATCATCTATGAAAATTTAGAATCCAGGAAATAATTCAAGTCCTCAATATTTCCTCTTCGTTTTAATATTGGTCCAGTGCATGCATGAGATAATTTGCATTCTTGTTTCTTTGATCTCATCCAGCACAAAATACCTTGCGAATTAACAGACGTTAATGTCTTTAACGGAGAACACCGTGAGCCGAAGTTCGTGGCGATGAATCCACACGAAGAAGTTCCGATACTGACAGATGGAAGCACAACGGTTTTTGGAGGGTTTGTGTCAGAATATTCTCACGTTTTATGGAGCTAGCCTTAGGCGACAAATTTGCATACATGTTTTTTAGTAATCAATTTTTAAAGTTATTTGACCAAAAAAACTTATTTTCCTCAGTCAATCGCGTGACGGATTGAGGTAAAAATGTTTCAACTGCCCCTGATTAAGGCCTACTCTGAGACCTTAAGTCGCCTTAAGTCGCCTTAAGTCACCTAAAGTCGCCCAAAGTCGCCTAAAGTCACCTTGAGTCGCCTTAAGTTTTCTTAGGTTGCTATTGGTTACGCAATGTCATAAGGGTTCCACCCTTCCCAATTGACCCTATCCACTCCACTCCAATCATAGTTTTCTGCAGCTAGAAAAGTAGTTGGAGAGACTGGAAAGGAAGTAGTTTTACGAAGGACCTTAGCATTTGGTTCTCAGTATGGTATTGGGGTGTTTTGTCTAACTGAGGCAGGAGAACAACAAATTGGTTGGGTCACTGAAAAGGACCCGTGCAATTTTGGATGCTGTTGGAAAGGCAGGCGACTTGCCAAACTTTCATGCTAAAATTGACGGTGCAAGTGCAAAAAATATGGGAGACAAGTTTACCGAGATAACAATTATTATAATTTGTGGAGCTTTGTGAAATAATAAATACACGTAAATAATCATGTTATTTTTAATTAATTATGTGGAAAATTTATGGATAGTTTCATCAAAGTTGTGTCTCTTTTCTTAAATTAAAAATTTATGGCACTATGTGTATATTTATGATAGGTTTGCTTGATGTTGGGCATATAGCCCATGATGTTTTCCTGGCTATTTATTTACTAGCTTTGACTGTATAATTTTATAATAGCTGTTGTGGTAATTCTGTCTGAACATTTTTAGCTAAATTGATTTGAAATATGGATATTTTAGACTACGGTGACTTATGAGCATACCAAATAACCGAAACGACTGTTGTGTTTATTGCAAGGGATTCTGTAGACATTTTTAAAGTTTATGGAGAGACTGTTGCTAACTTTGGTTTTATCGCTTCAGTCAAATAAAATCGCTTTAAGTCGCCTCAAGTCGCCTTAAATCGCCTAAAGTCGCAATATTTTTTGTGCCGATTTTGCTAAAGTCACCTCAAGTCGCCTTAAATCGCCTAAAGTCGCCTAAAGTTACGGCGACTTAAGGTCCCAGAGCGCAAATAATTTTGATCTCATTCCATCTTTTAGGATAGCGATACTACGTTACTTTGCTCAGAAATACACAGACTTTGCCGGCTGGGGAAAAACAAGCGAAGACCGCTACAGGGTGCATTCAGTTCTAGACTGGGCCAGCTCCAAGTTGTTAGAGTAAGTTTGAATGATGCCACCACTTTTGTGTTTATAGGTTTTCGGACCTTTAATGGTGCTTGCCCTTGGGAACTTTGACCAGAAAATCATCGCTAGATAAAACCGTTGATTATTGTTGCTTCATTGCTCCATGCATGCTTTTTGATATGAAAGAGGAACTCAGAGTTTCAACCAATTAGATTTAAGGCTTGTTTAAAGTAATCGTTCAAATTGCAGGAAAATGAAAGACAAAGAGTATCATGTGGCAAATTTTGCAACTTTTGTTTCTTAACTCTTACTTTTTCCCCCCAAAAAATGGACATGAATTTAATTTCAGACCGGCTCAGTATTGCATCAATAAAATGTTTGAACTGACCAAGTCCTGTATTTAGTCGGCAATTTTGAAATGAATGTAATAAAGTAGTAATTGAACCTCGTGTCGTGCAATTTTGGTCTGAAATCATACGCGTGATTTCAAATCGAACTTGCGCTGCGCGCTCGTTCGATTTTGAAATCACGCGTATAATTTCAGCCCAAATTGCATTTCACTCAGTTCAATTACCATTATAAATCTAATCGCAACCTTTCCATCATGATTACTCTTCTGTGGTTTTTCTTAAATGTAGTGTTCTAGGCTACAAATACGTGTATCCTCAGTTGCTGGAAAGATATCACCTTCCGAACGAGGCCGCCACAGAGGAACTAGTCGATAAAGGATTGTCAGAGGCCAGTGAACTCCTAGAAGCCTTAGAGAACTACTATCTTGGAGACAATCCATTCTTGTGCGGATCTGAACTAACTGTGGCTGATAGTTACGTTGCAACCATCCTATGTCAGGCAGAGTGGGTTGACTTTGACTTCAAACTCTGGCCCAGGCTCTGGGAGTGGCTAACGAGGGTCAAAGGTCAAGAACATTGGCGCGAGGTGCATTCTACGCATGACGAGTTCCTCCAGAAGCTTAAGAAAGATCACTCCATTGAAAGTGACTCGTCTTGAAGCAGCTCAATATACTAACTGCATTTACAACGTCTTAATGTTCAACGACAATCATAGCGTAGGAAGTTTCCACCGTCCAACAGAAAAAGTAGGTGCACACTGCGTACGTGTGTCTAGTACAAATTGAAATAACTGTATTAGTAAATAATTACATGCTTACAGCCTTTCTGCACTTTCAGTCTGTTTCAAGGGTATGCTGAATAGATATCAATGGGTGCATAAGTTAACCAAAGAGCAGTAGTTTTCAAAGAATTTTTCTGCATAAACTATGTAACAGTTAGAATAAGATTTCGGAGTTTTCTAAGCAAATCGATCCACGGGAGGGTTTCTAAACTAATCAGATTATGACTACCAAAGAACAGAATTTTGCAAATATTTAAGAAATAGCAAATATAATTTTAAAATAAGATCAGTTTATGGGAACGGAAATAACGGAAAGATATCAACACGGGGATTTCCGTAATATATTTAATTCTGTAAACCAAAGAAAGATACAATCTGGGTACAATTCGCGATGGCATTCCGATTATATTTGAAGCATTACCATATCAGACATAGAAAATAAAATGGATGCACGAATCACAAAAGGTCAATTGTAGATGTGAAATGTGAGCGCGTATGATCGGAACTCTATTCTGTATCAATAAATTACAAAAGACTGGTTTACTCTCCGAAATAATCTTGCTTCGCCACCTCAGGCTCTCCTTAAGATACGACAATAAACAAAACGCATGGTTTCTACGACGATAAGCTTTCTCGTAACGTTTGCTTTTTCGAATTCAATTGGTTCCGAATATCTCAAGGAGTTTCGCTCATCAAAAGAAATTTCCGACTTATCACATCAGGTCCTACGACAAAATATCGATGTCGCCACGCCACCTCACTCGTGTTACGCGATTACCTCATGTAAGCCTGTCATGTACGGTAAACTTCAAATAAACTATAACAGCATTACGTCATTTGTTGACGCACCTACTGAATCCTTTACTGCTCTTGCAAGGTGTCTGGTTGCTTCGCACTAGACACGAAAACTAACTTGTGAAAGATAGATGCCACGCCGCATTTTTTGTTTTGTTCTTCTTTCGTTTGTTTTGATTAATCATTATCTATCTTAGCCCGACAGTTAGAGAATTCTGTGGTCTTCTCTCCCTGATATACCTCAGTAGAATGCCTTCTCATTGAGAGTGCCTTTTGGGGGATTGGCACGGGACAATGGGCTCAGAGTAACACGGTCAGAAAAAAAATGCTCATATTAACTTACTTGCAGTAAGTTTATTTGGTGGATGTATGCGAAATAATACATTAAAACGATGAAGTACGTTTAAAATCCTAATTAAATGCTATCACTTAATATCTATCCATATTTGAAATAAAAGAGAGATCTCTGAATATGTGAAGGCTACCTGGCTGAAATGGTTTATATGCAATAGGAGACGAGGAAAACTTTCTTCAGCCTTTGTAGGATTATGCTAAATACTATGAAATTACAAGGTGCACCCTTAGGGTATATCTGTGGTGTGCTTTTTTTTTTAAAAAGGGCTTCAACTATGTACTCCACTGACGTCGAAAAACGTGAATATCTAATAGTATATTTGCAAATGTCGTTCCATAACACTGACAGAAGATGTCTTACAAATTTCTTCAGTTTCATGGGTACATTTGTTGAATAAAGACCGAAAGATTAACTGTAGAGGACCTTAAAACGTTTATTTTAATCTAAAAGGTTTAAGACCCTAAAAAGTTTACCCTAATGTTACAAAATCTAGAAAGGCCTGTAGTGCTCTAAATCGATCGGTCTTAAATTGTTTAGAGTGATATACTCGTTCGTATCTATTGTTACTCTCAAACTACAGAGCTGCGGTATAAAAAGGACTATTAGGATACTGACGTGAACCAACGTAACGCAAAATCGTGACTGAAAAAACAAATACTTTTGTGTCATATGCTGCCTTTGAAAGGTCCTCCCTGTGGCAACGGGAGCTACTGCAATGCAGCCATCAACATCAGAGACAACACCATCAGTACACAGCTTCCGATTTGAACCGACACTCCAGGTGCAGAACTCTTTCGTTTAACGTCAGGTTCGTCTGACGCTTCACAGTTCACACAGTCCGCACAAACACGGCAGACCCCTTTATCTTTGAGAGAGTCTACAGCATATAAAGCTTCGGCACGGTTCGCTAAAAAAAAGAGGATAAAAAGGTGTTATTTTGCGAGGGATTCAGCGGTTTAGCATAATTCTTTTGACTTCATGAATTTTTTAACCCCATATATCCAATTCTTCCATATTTGTTCCTTCTGCCTGCTGTATATTTCCTTGAAAATTTGTTACGAGAATTTGGTGCCATAACAATACCTGTTACAGTTTCTCTATCTTATCTCACCTGTTTTCTGGATAATGTGATGAGATTGGGGGGTGACATGGTACCCTTCTGACGGCTGGGAGTGGAAGAGTAGCTCGCGAATGTACACAAGCGAGAATTACAAGACGAAAAAGAAGGGGGGGTTTCAGATTGGCAAGAGGGGGGGAGGCTATTTAACTTCTTATAAAGAAGAACATTTTAAAATGGTCCATTGCCCAAAGTAGGTAAAACAGGTAAATAGTAGAGTGTAAACAAAATATGTGAAAAAGTGATGCTAAATCGTACAATTATTGTGTTAATTCTATTGTTTTCTTTTGTTTAACCACTATTTTGTACAACTTAGTGATTTTTAATGACTGTGAATATATGAAAGTTATAAAGTGTGATTTTTATTTCACAGATATACTGCTTGCAATCAAAATTCCTTCGTTGTCCCAGATTTTTAGTATATAAACAATCCAAATCCACCTGCTTTAATATTTGGTTCGACTGAATTTTCCTTTGACAAAATGCTTGTCATATCAATAACCCAAGAAGTGATTAAACACGAAATAACAACAAGAAAGTATTCCTTTTACAACTGAAGGAAAATCATTGGAAAATCAACTTATGGTTGTACGTGAATTTATTTTAATCATTACAAGGCATATAAGAGGAGATATGAGGTGACGGAGGGGTCATCGCGTAAATATTGAATAATGATGGGGGGGGGGGGGAGAGGGTCACTTGCCATTTACATGTCTGAAGGCTCATAGAAATTTCGATCTTTTCAAAATTTCCTTCCCCTCCTTCTACATAAGAAAGGGACCGGTTCCTAAACCCTTAACAATCGAACATCAGTGCGCATATTCTTCATACTGTTCTATATACATTTCCTGGGCTAGAAACAAGGAGAATTCGTTTATCAATCAGGAGCTTCTTTGAGTGGCGATCATTTCTTCATTCTCAAGACCTTACTGTTTGATTGAGGGCTTATACCGTAAGGAGAAATTATGTGCTAGGCACTCTTAATCCTTTCGCTCCCAAGATTTCATCAGTAATTCTCTCAACTGTCTGCCATACAATTCTTATGATGTTAGTTCGGAGAATTTGGTATAGGATCAACTAATAATCTCCTAAATAATTTTTTTTCTTATTCTCATCACTTGTGTACTTGATATTGTAAGGATATTGGGAGGAGAAATTCTGTCTTGGTCATTCATGGGAGTTAAAGGGTTAAGGGTCCGAGGGTTAGTCAGTGTTGAACCACACTAAATTTGGTGACTAAATCCCATGTTTGTTAAGACCCACATCACGGAAGCGCATTAAAGTAACTATGATAAGAGAGAAACAAATCATTTTTATTGCGAATATCATCTCGTACCTGGCTCGTAGTAGCTGTAAACGGATGCTGAAGAGGGCTGAGGTTTTCCTACGTCAAAAGCACGCTGAAACAACACTTTCACGCACACCTTTCGACTTGAAGGGATCTGTAATTCAAAAGAAAGGTTTGTTAATCAGCTACATGGTTTGGCCAACTCTTTTGCAGCTCATCCACACACATTAAGACAATGGAATGTTTGTTCAAAATCCGTGTCGTCGAATGAGTCACTTTCATGAAGCTGTGACTCACACATCAAACATGGTAATCTCAATACTTTAAACAAAGTAACAACACCTTCAAAAATTGTTATCATGAACTGTAACCTAGTGTAAGTCACCTCGTCAAAGTAGAAAAGCACTTTGCGATCTTCCGTCTCGACACGCTTCAGCTTCAGAGATGGGTTCGACATAATCTGCAGAGAAACCGGCGCACAGGTAAGTAATATTAACTCCTTTTTTGACCCAGACCGCTATCTTCGCTACCAGCCTACCAGGTTGATAGGGACCAGTCAATATTTAGCGCCGGGGAGGGGAGGGAGGGGGCGGGGTCGAATTATTTTGGAAGGGATCACATGGTTTTCTAGGGGAACGGAGCAAGGTATCAATCGTCTCTGACAGAGTTTAAAGGGGGGAACTGTAGAAGATTGGTTGTCAATGGGGGGGGGGGATTTCATTAGAATAGCAGAGAGCCTTATCAGGTCAATTTTATTGTAACACAATCAAAATCCTCTCACTCACCCCCCCCCCCCCCCCCCCACCTTAGACTTATAACAGACTTATAGCCAAAGACGGTTTTCTTTTTAACTCATAAACAATTAACCGTATCATTTTGATAAAGAAAAATAGCACCTCGTCAAACTCATAATGGAAGGTCTCACCTTATCGACACTATTCTGGTCTAATTCAAATCCTGAAGGAATCCCGACATCCATAACCGCCATACCCGAGCTCTGATCGTTCTCAGTCCACTTGGAACACGCTTGCACTTCGATCTCATAATCAGTTTCCCGGATGACTTCCAAGAGGAAATCAAACGAGTTTTCGTCAGGGGCTTTGTCCACGTTATAAGTGACACCCACCTGTAGGGGAATACTAAAGTTATCATCGGTCATACAGTTATATAGTCTCCTTCGTAGCTGTCGTTACACAATCTAATTTTCTATTTTCCTTTCAAGCTGCGATACATTAGCGAAGAGAATTTCATGTGTTATCAAGATATCAGCCCTTAACTAACATGCGTCTCCTTTGGTCGATTTTCTTCCAGATGGTGCATTGAAAACGTGAGAAGAAGAAAGATTTGGACTATTTCTAGGAATTTAAAGAATAAGCCTGATGAGCTTGTGTTCGAGGCTCGTGGTTTTTTTTTTCTAAGGATGCCGCCTTGAAACATTCCTATCTCCGAAGAAACTAAATGACCAAAACAAATTCTCAAGCCTCTAGCCTTAAATGTTCAGACTATCGAACGCTTTCATTGCAGTACTGTAAACCAGTTGAATCTAACCTGTAACATTCCTACTCCACGACCATCTGCCGATACTTTCAGAGAGCCCGCTGCAGCCACATCTGGAATCTGTTCACAACAAAATTTTAAGTAAAACCTTTCCCAAATTGTATGGACTAACTCTGCATGTTTCACAATCTACAATAAGTTATCAAAATAAGTTATTTACCGCTCTATGTTGGTCCGTATGCGAGACAACTTTGCCCTAGTTCTCGAGTAAGGCGCTCAGTCTTCGGCTTCGAGCCGCACACGAGACCTCGAACAAAGTTTTCCCATACGGACCTCCCGCCCGATAAATAACACACATAAATATGTTTTGATTCAAGAAGAAATTACGACGTTACCTCTACTAATTGTAGCACCATGGAGTTTTGTTGATTGACAGTTACAGTTTTGCTGAAGAACGGATCCCCAGTAAGACTCAAACGAACTGTGAAGTCGATATCAGGGGCATAAATTAACTCGGCGAACTCCGAGAGGGCCTGGAGTCCAATCACCGTGTCCTGAAAGAAGATACGTTATAATCACAGTTATTAAAAACTGGATCATTGGATGATGCAATTCCCGAGCTTTCATTGGCTTAGCCATCATGGGTTATGAGCCATTATACCATGCTCTACAAATTTGGTGCGCGATTCTTACAAAAACAATTTGGGAAGACTTGTCCATATTTTGGGGCGTTTTTCATGAACACATCATTCCACCAACGTTTGTGGAATATGAGATGATTATAGCCAACTCGGCCTAACGGGCCTCGTCAGCTATCTGTCATCTAATATCCAATCAGAACAAAGGCTAACAAAACTGTTTGCCAAAGAGAACTCAAAATGAAAACAAGGATATTCTTTGAGGCGCGGGAAACGCCGGTGAATGACCAAGTCGCTATTGTTTTCAATTTTGTACCTTTTTGGCTGAGAGGATGGTGCGAGTGTTTTTGGACCAATCACAGAACAAAGTTAAGCTAAAGCGAAACAATTCCGGATTACTTTCGACATTCAATTGAAAATTGCTCTATAAACTCAATTGATTTAAAAAAAAAAAAAAAAGCAAAAAAAACTACAAAAACTGCACCACACCTGAGTTGACGAGTATCCTCCGAGCGAGTTTCTCTGCTGAGACAACCAGCGGGAGATGGGCAGACCAACGCTTATATCCTTGTTGAGTGTGAAAGCTAGCAGAGCGTAAGCAGTGATTTCTATGTCAGCTGATCGCGGACGGTAATATGGGCGCCACCACGGATTGTCGTTTGGTTTGTTGCCTTCCGGTTTTTCTTGCCAGTAAATAAGACCATCTGAAATTCAT